GAGGAGGGTCCACGGGCAGGGGTCAGTGGGGAGCTGTTGTTAATGGGTTTGTGGTCTTCTTTGTGGCTGATAACAATTGTCCGGACCTGGGTAGATGTGGTGACTGCTTCACGTTGCTAATATGCTCAATTCCACTAGTGCTAGATTTTATGTTCTGTGTTTTTTATCAAAGTAAAATAAAGTTTTATTTATCATGTATTATATCAATAAATTTTATATATTTTGTAAATGTATGTGACTGTTCTGTGACCCATGACATATAAATCTGTACGGTGCACGTTACCTATGCTTATACTATAGCATAGACTTTATACAGAACATTATTTTTTACATATGGAAATTTTATATAATTATATGCATAAACACAGAGTGTTTTAACTCTCAAATAACAGAACGTGTGTTTTAACTCTCAAATAACAGAACGTGGAGCTTACGAACTGCAGAGGTCACCGTTGATAGGAATCCAGGCGGCAGGACAATTAAGCCCTAACCGCCAGGGCGCCCCCAGCTAATCCATCCTCAGGACACTCTGCAGGTGAACAGCCCAGTTTCTTCAACTTCAAACTGCAAGGAGGAAAAGATGGATGGAGACATGACAGCCAGTTACACAGCCAGCAGCCTGCATGCCTGGGACTGAGGCAGCGGCCCCAGCTCAGCCAGCCTCAGTCTCCCAGTGGCCAGTGGCAGTTCCTGAGCCGACCTGGACACTGGCCCAAACAGGTGCAATAACGTTTTCAATTATGAGGCCATGGAGAGAAGTGAGAATCAAGACAAGTGTCTACCTGTAACCTGCTATAATTTATGACTCAAGACCGACTCCAGCCCAACCAAGCTGTAATAGTTAAAATGTGTGTGTTTGTGTATGTTATGGACTGCTTGGTTTGTAGTGTGTGTGCTGTGTGTGTTTATGTGTGGTGTCTGTGGTGTGCGTGGAGTGTGTGGTGTGTGTGGAGTGTGTGGTGTGTGTGTGTGTGTGTTATGTGTGTGGTGTGTGGGGTGTGTGGAGTGTGTGGTGTGTGGGGTGTGTGGAGTGTGTGGTGTGTGTGTGTGTGTGTGGTCTATGTGTGTGGTGTGTGGGGTGTGTGGAGTGTGTGGTGTGTGGGGTGTGTGTTTATGTGTGGTGTGGTGTGTGTGTTTGTTCATGTGTGTGGTGACTTGTTACTGAAGCCTCTGCCACACTCTCTGCACTTGACTTTTGCAATTCTTAAGATTCCTACCCCCACAGATAACTTGCCTGTGTCCTCTGGATTCACATTCTGGCCTTTTCTGGACTCTTCTTCCACCTCACTCTCGCTAGAACTCCCCACTTGGCCTTTGGGTGGGCTGGAAATTGTGCTTGAAACCCTCTGCTCCTTTGCCCTTTTATATAAGGGCTTGGACCCTTCTTTGACCTCTTGACCTTCGCCCTCGTCTTTCCCGCTGTGTGGATCAGAACGTTGCTGCTCCTGTTTCTGACCAACTGGATGTACATTCTCTGGCTGGAGATGTTCTCTTGCAGATGTCCCTGGGAAGGTCTGAGAGGAGTAATTGCATTCCACAGGTTGCCCGATGACTTTCCGACTGGAGCAGGCCAGAGAGCTTGAAGAACATGGGTCCGTCTCTGGCTTTGGTTCTTCTGAAAGAGGAAGTTTTTGGTCAGGGAGGTGTGGACAACACTGTCTGGGACATCTGCTTTGTTGTATGGTAAGGCCCGCTCCACTAATCATTCCTCATGTGTTAACGCCTGCTGTCTCCCACCGAGTGTTCCTTTACAGTCTATTTTCCATTCCATTTTTGTTCACTACACCTTCCTCCGAAATCCAGAAAACCCACATCAAGGGCTTTGTCTGTGTATCAGCCAAACTTGGGACCTTCAGTAGCATCAGAGGCAGCTTCAGTCCTTATACAGAAGGAGCTGCAGTGACTTTCCCCCACACACTACAAGTGTCTTCTGGGTCATATCATATCCTCTTCTCCCCCTAATCTCTGGGTACTTTTCCTGATAGAGCATCTGCAGCTATTTTATTCTACTGAGAAATAATAACTCTGGATTACGTAGATGGTGATAGAGTTTGGATGTGTCATCCCCCCAAAACTCATGTGAAAATCTGATCCCCAGTATGGCAGTGTTGGGAGCTGTTTGATCCATGGGGGCAGATCCCTCATGAATGAATTAATGTTCTCCCTGGAAGGTGGCAGTAGTGAGTGAGTTCTCACTCTATTAGTTCCCACGAGAGCCAGTTATTTAAAAGGCCCTGGCACCTCCCCCATCTCTCTCTCTCTTGCTTCCTCTTGCCCCTTGTACCAACCAGCTGCCTGCCACTTTCCTCCATGAGTAGAAGCAGCCTGAGGCTCATGCCAGATGCAGCTGTCCCGGAATCATAAGCCAAATAAACCTCTGTTCTTTATAAATTATCCAGTCTCAGGTATGGTGTTATAGCAACATGAAAAGGGACTATTATGGATGGACTCATCCTTAGTGACTTTTCTTATGAGGGGAAAGGGATCTATTAAGTCAGGAGCCACTTCGTCTGGAGATGCACAAATGTGGAAGGCAGTGTAGAGTAGTGGTTAAAGAGCATGTGTAAGTACAACTCTGAAGGGATCACCCACTGCAGTTTATTTTCTGAAAAGTAACCAAAACTCCACAATTTTTTTCATCTCAGGAAAATCCCCAGTTTCCTGGCAGGAATCATGGGGGCTACATGTCCAGGCTTCTGTGTCTCTCTCTGACCTCTGATCCCTTCTCTGCTTCCTGCACCTGGGTGGTCTCAGCCATTCCTCAAACACCCTCGCTCTCTCCTGCCTCAGGGCTGTTGCACGAGCTGCTCCCTCTGCCTGGAGTCCTTTGCCCACAACTCTGCACCTCTCAAACGTTATGTCCTGAGAGCAACCTTCCCTCACGTCCCCTGTCACAACCTCCCTCCCCTCATGATGATCTCTAGGCACTTTTCTGGATTAGTTTTCTTGAAAGCACGAATCACTGTCTGATATGCACGTGCCTGTGCGTGTCTGCGTGTTTCCCTAATTCACGCGTCAGCTGCTCAACAGCACTTATTCTGATCATCTTGTTCTGTGTGTATTTCCTGTTCCTGCAGCATTGTCTGGCACAGAGTAGGAATTCACATGACGACTAATTGAAATAATGAATGCATGAATAACAACATATGCATGTTATTTAGAAATATGGAAGAAAGTAAGAAACAATTAAAGGAGCCAGAAGAAGCTGCCTTGATGAAAGAGCTGGTAGGTGCTTGAGACTTGTTCTTTGTCTCTAAGCCCGTCAGGACTATATGTTGTTATATATTTTTCATATAAAGAAGTTAAAAAAATAAAATCAAAGCAAAAATGTTAAAATATAAATCGTCCCTAAGAGTCAAAGGCAAATGAAACGAATCCTTAATTTCAGAAGCACCTGATTTGGAATGTTTCCGACTTGAGACTGCATTTTACTCTACTTAAGAGTTGCACCATGAAAATTCCCAAGGAGAATTCTTCCTTTTCTGTCCTTTTAAAGAATGATAGTGGTGCCCACCTCTCCCTGCCGTGAGCTCTTTCTTCCACTCACCGTCGCACAGGATACCCAGCTCCTCGCCATATTCTTCCCCGTACCAGACCAGCAGTTCACAGCCCGGCCTGATGACCTGGCAGGTTCGATAGAAGATCTGCCCGCGGTATTGAATGGCCACCAGGTTCTGCTCCTCATCATCTCGGGCGCAGTTGACATACCTGGGGTTGAGGCAGACAAAGGGACAGAAAATAACAGGCAGTGAGTCTCCACTACCTGTCAGGGCCGTGTTGGGCTTGTCCCCAGATGGTCAAGGCCCCCATGCTGTGACGGGCCATGCCGCCACCCTCCTCCAGGAACCTGCTGTTCTTACCTAAGCCTCTTTCTCCAAGTCCTGTGTACGGTGCTCATCCTGCCTGGAATGCTTTCCCCCCCTTGACTGATTGACCATTCTTCAAAGCCCCGTTCCAGACTTACCTCCACCTTGATTGGCCATAACACACTGACTTCCAACTTCTCTAAACTCTCAATCGATTTCTACATATAACACAGAATTTGGCGTTTGATCAACCACGTAGTCTGCTTCTGCATTAGCACACATCATTCTATACTCAGCCCAAGTCTATCTCCTTTTGAGAGACCTTTCTCTAATCTCCCATAGTTTACCTGCCTCCCTGGGTTCCCATAGAAACTTAGAGGTCTCTTTGTCCTAGCATGATAATAACACAGAATAATAACAGCATATCCATGTTCTTATCCTCTAATAAAATGAGAACCCTCATGGAAAGGGGCTGGGCCAGCCCCTCGTGGAAAGAGCTGGTCCATGCAGCACAGAGGCCCGTGACCACCCTGCAGCTCACTTCTCAGGCTTCAGGTTTTAATTTCACTGAAGCTGCCAAGATTTCCTGCCCTCACAGATTAAAGGTCCCTTGTTTTAGGTTGTCCTGGCATTGTGTAATTCTCCTATAATCAAATGTTTCCCATCTGCCCGCAATAGTCCCCCACAAGAGCATGGGTTGTGTGATCCGTTCATGTGATGTACTCCAGTTTCTAAATAAGAATAAAGTAAGTGCTTAATAAATGCTGATTAGATAAATTATAGTGCGAATCCAGCATCCCCAATGAATCCAGGCTCCTCAGGGTTTATCCTGGTGCTCCAATTTTGTCTATCATAGAGATTTAGGTTTTTCACAAAAAAATGGTCATATTTATATTTTATCTCTTTTTTCCTAGATGTTCATAATATGAAAGAACATTGTAAGGGGAGCAGAGAATGTAAAAACCATTGAGGGGGGCAAGCTGAGAAGGAAAGAAGCTGAGCTCGAGAGAGATGAGTGTCCCTGCTGGAACCTGAAACCTATTGGCCTTA